AGAGACTAAAGTGACTGCCTCAAGGTCACAAGGGTAGGAGGTGGTGGAGCTGGGTTTGAACTCGGGTCCTCTGATTTCCCCCTTCATTTAACTTGCTCTTCACCGTGTCTCATTTACAGGGAACCACGCTGGTTGTTGGGAGACCTGGGCTCTCAGTCCTGACCCTATCTCCAGTTGGGCAAGTCACCTTCCTCATCTGGGACTCACTTTTCCCCACCATACAATGGGAGAGATCCCTTCTCTGACTTGCCAGCCTCATAGGGTTCTCATGGAGATCAAATGCCATCACACCTATGGGATGGGAAAGGGCATACGTAACAGTGCTTGGGAACAGAAGGGTCCAGAGTCATGCACAGCTCTCTCAGTGAGACCTGGATGCAGCAGTTAGTGGCCACATCCCAATACTCAAGGTTGAGCCTCATAGGACTGACCCCAGGTAGTCAGGGTGAGGGTCTCCTCAAATGATTCTACCCCCTCTGGGCTTTAGATACACAAAGGCCTTCTTTTGTCACAAGGACTCCTTGGGTGGTGCAAACAGTTAACTGCTCGGCTGCTAACCAAAAGGTTGGAGGTTCACGTCCACCCAGAGGCGACTTGGAAGAAAGGCCTGGCGATCTACTTCTGAAAAATCAGCCACTGAAAACCCTGTGGGGTACAATTCAACTCTGACACACATGAGGTTGCCATGAGTTGGAACCAACTACACAGCAACTGGTAAACTGGTCTGTTGTCGCAGGACGTTGGTGGGGAATAACGTCATTTATGGGATCCAGCTCTGCATTCATCTGAGGGCCATTGGGTTCAGAGATCCCCTGGAAATTGTAAACACAATGTTCTGTGTCTGGGAAAGAGAATCCATTTCTTTCTTCAGATCCCCAAAGGGTCTTTGGTGGACAAGAGATTTAGATTTTCGCTACAGGGTCGCTATGAGTTGGAATTGACTCAACTGCTACGGCTTTTTTTTTTTTTTTTTTTTATATCTTCCCTTCCCCTCCACTTCCATGGTAAAGTGCAGGGACTATAAGAGGCTTGTCCTCGGTTTCCTGGCTCCCAGGCGTCCTCAGGGAGGCACTGTTACCCAGCAGTTGAGAGCATGACTTCTGGAGTCAGACCCCCAGCCTCTTTCCCTGGCTGTGCAGCTTTGGGCTTGTCACTCAACTTCTCTGGCCTGAGTCCTCATCTGTAAGAGAGATGACAATGATAGCCACCTTCTAGGCTCTTTGTGAGTACAAATACGTAGGACTTGGCATGACCCTGGGGCATAGTAATCTGAGAGCAGTGGCCATCCTTTCTGCACTGGGGAGGGGTCAGCGCACCTTGAGTCCCCTTTAGCAGCTGCATTGGCTCAGTTGGTTGTTCTGGTGAAGTAAGGGCCTCTTTAGTCAGGGGGATGTCTGCCCTCTTGGGAGCCCTGGATAGGAGAGACTGATGGGTTATGGGAAGTTTTCAGAGCCCGACTTTGTAACTGGTCTGTGGCTCCCAACCTCCTGAATTTCAGTCTCATCGTTTGTCCCTGGGGTTCACCCCCACCCCCACCATCCTTGCCTTCCTCCCACGGTTGTGAGGACCACGGAAGAGCATGATTGTGCCAGGTCTGTCTGCCTGTCCTGCTGAGGCCTGAGAGGCAGCGAGAGTTCTCCAGGACTGCCTGGAATCCCAGTAGCTCCTCACCCGCTCAGTCCAGGCTGGAGATTGCAGACACAGCTCCGCCCTCAGAGTTCCCAAACACCGAGTTCCCCAGGCCCCCTCCCTCCACCCTCACGGACTGTTGCCATGGAGTGACTGGGGTTGGGGGGAGCACAGGCAGATGGCACAACCGGGGGATCTGGGGCTGAGCGGGCAGGTGGCCAGGCCGGTGTGGGCAGCGCCTGGGCTTCGGGCACCCAGTGGACGGGGAGGCTGATCCCCTTTCATGTCTTGGTGAGATTTGGCCCCTAAATGCCCCCCAACTGTCCGCACTGTTTCTTAAGTTTCCCTGAAGAGCCGGTGGGGCTCTCACATTATGGCTTGTTGGTGTAACAAAAACTCAGAAAAATTACCCTATGATCTTTAAAGAAATGTATCAAACTTTACTGTTGATAAAAGACTGTTTTTTTATTTATTTATTGTACTTTAGATGAGGGTTTACAGAACAAATAGTTTCTCATTAAACAGTTAGTACACATACTATTTTATGACATCGGTTAACAACCCCACAACATGTCAACACTCTCCCTTCTCGACCTTGGGCTCCCGATTACCAGCTTTCCTGTCCCCGCCTGCCTTCTAGTCCTTGTCTCTGGACTGTTGTGCCCCATTAGTCTTGTTTTGTTTTATGGGCCTGTCTAATCTTTGGCTGAAGGGTGAACCTCAGGAAAAGACCGGTTATCTTATGACTAATTGTGCATTGCTGGCATCTTCTACCCCGTACAATTCTGAGTGTGAAATGTGACAGCAGTGGTAGGAGTGGGAGACATGGAGTTGGGAGACTGAGTTCCCATCCTAACTCTTACTAATGAGCTTGTGATACTGGGCAAGTCCATTCCCTGTCTGGGCTTAAGCTTCCCCATCTGTAAAGTGAGGGGCTTGGACTAGATGCACTCTAAGTCTCTTTTGGGAGTGGCTTTCAAGCTATGTCCTGCAGAGCTCTGGACAGTTTTTGGAGGCCTGCTGGGACCCAACAGGGGGATGGGGCCTAGAGAGTGGGGTCCTAAGCCTTCCAACTCCTCTTTGACCCAAGCAGCTTGCCCTTTATCTGTTTCTTATCTATTGAGATTCCTTGTAAGATTTTATTTGAAGAAAGGGTCTTAGTGATTAAACGAAGAAAGAAAGGAAGAAAAGAAGCTAACACTCCTTCACCTGTATTGGGGGAAAGGACTGTGCCTGCCACAGAAATCCTCAACAAATGTTTGCTGAATGAATGAAAGGTGAATGAAGGAATGTTCCTTGATTCTAGGTCTAAGCCATCTCCACCCAGTTCATACGCTTTTGTCTCACTGTGTGTGTTTGTGTGTGCACGTTGTGGGGAGGTACAGGCAGAGGCCCTGCCTTTTAAGGAGGGTGGGGAATTAGCTGCAGCCAGGCTTGTCACTGGGTTGAGAGGGGTGCGGGTAAGGTCGGGTTTTATCCAGCCTTGGCTCGGAGTGATGGGTTTTATCCAGCCTTGGCTCGGAGTGATGATTCCCTGCTGAGAGGCCTGGAGGTGACTGTCTGGCCACTGATATGGCAATGAATTCCCAGTCGCCCTCCTTCTGGCCTTTCCTGCTGACCGTCTAGGGTCTGAGTCAGCCCTGGCAAGGCTCGCCATGCCCAGTGCTCCATCTTTATGGAGGCTTGGTCCTGGCCTGCCAGCTGATGACACACACCTTCAGCCGGATAGCCAACAGCCACATTCTTCTCCAAGTCTTCTTGCCGTTACTCTCTGGTGCTGCTGCCTGATTTGTGCCTCTGTTTCCCTATCTGGATTGGAGGGAGGGGATGGCAACAAAGGGAACTAACGTGTGCTGAGCGTCTATTTGATGCTGGCTTTCCTGTTTTCTGACCTACCAGCACCAGTGCAGGGCTCATTATACAGTTCCAGTACCAGGACCAGTTGCCGTCGAGTTGATTCCGACTCATGGCAACTTCATGTCTGTCAGAGTAGAACTGTGCTCCATAGAGTTTTCAATGGCTGTTTTTTCAGAAGTCACTTGCCAGGTCTTTCTTCTGAGGCATCTCTGGGTAGACTCCAACCTCCAAACTTTCATTTGTACTGCCGAGGGACCAGTGCACAGTAGGGACTTTCAAATGCATACCTTTGGTCCTAGAATGTCTGTGCTGGAAGAGCCCATAAAGGTGACTCAGTCCTGTGGTTTTTAATTCTACAGAGTCCTGGAGTTCCATGAAGGAATTTTCAGGTGAGGTTTGAGGGGGAAGCTGAGAACTAAGGGCTCTGGGACCCCCACTTGCCTCAAGCAGGCAGTTCCACCTTTCTTTGCATTAGATTTGAGAGAACTGGTTGAGTAGCTGAAAACATGATGCAATCTTCTCTAAGTTTCCCATTTTATGATGTAAAGTCACTGGCCTACAGGAGAGAAGTGGCTCATTCAAGGCCACAAAGAGAGTCAATAGCTAATAACAACTACAGTTATTGAGAACTTACTATGTCACAGGCACATGGTATACATATGACTGCCTTCCCCACAACAAACCAGGCAGCTGAAATGATTATTATCTCCATTTGACTGATGAGAAAACTGAGGCACAGAGAGGCAAAATGATTTCAGAGTCAAGAAATGACAGAGCAGGGATTTGAACTTGGGTTTTCAGACTTTGGAGCCTGTGGGCTGCTGCAGTGAGCTCTTCACCCTGAGCCATTGCACCAGATCTTGTACTGCCAAGCTTCCTTTCTCCGTGGCTGGAGGGCAGCCTCCACTTCTGCCTTACTCAGTCCATTCCTCCACCTGGACCTGGTATCTTCCACACAGCCCTGAGCATCTGGCTCAGAGCCCGCCCCTTGGCTGGGGGCGGGCAGGAAAGGAGCCCTAGGACATGCATTTGCATTGAGGCCTGGGGCTTCAGGATAAAGGTATGCCCCACTGAAGGCTGGAAGAAGTTAAGGATTGATTGAGGACTACGTAATGGAGCAGCTGGGAGAGGCAGAAATGGAGAGAACGCCATATTGATTCACGCTTTCCCCTGGTGAACTTCTGTATGAGCTTGGAGGCATCTCAACCTTCAGGTACCTTCTCTGCAAAATGGGCCTGACAGTCTGAAGGTTGATGGGAGGCTCTAAGGAGATAGCGGTCATGGAAATGCTTTTCAAACCGTTAAAGAGCTATATGCCTGGGAGCGCGTGTGGTTCAGTAAGTTGGGTACTGAGTTGGGAAGGTGGGATGCTACCACCTTGCACCTGATTTGGAACAAGGCAAGGTAAACATGAAAACAATTGGGGTGTATAGCCTGGCTTCTCCTTTTACTCTCATTTACTGAGTGTGCAGGGAATTCCTCAACGCTGTGTCTTTTTGTTTATTTCTGTACAGTGGGACTGTGGTAGGTGCTCGACGTGTAAATTGCTTAGTAACTCTCAGCAGCCAGGAAGGAGGCAGGTGAGTGGGAGATGAGGGGGGTGGTCCCAGCCTTTCCTGCTCTCAGCACTTCAGGGAATCCCCTACACGGACTTAGACTCACAGCTGGGCAGAGTGGTTTCTTCTGGCTCCATCACTAGCCTGTGACCTTGGGCAAGTCACTTATCCTCTTTCTGCTACATCAGTTAAAAAGGGACGCAACGTCTCATCTTTCTGCCTCAAAAAGTATTTATTTTGAGAAGCAAGGTCGGTAACAGATGTGAAAATCCTTTGGGGTGGGGGGAAAGAAAGCATGATTCAAAGTAAGAGCTTCTTGCTGCTGTAACTTTATCATTCTGCTTGTTATGCTTTTGTTTTCTCTCCCAGCACTTGGCCCAGCCCTAACCTCAAAGCAGACACTTAGTAGAACCTTAATGAATGGAGACAGGCGGCTTGCGCAGTGGAGCAAAGGGAGTCTGGAGACCTGCTGCTTCTGCCATTGACAAGCTGTGGGATTTGGGGCAAGACCCTGACCCTCTCTGAGCTTCAGTTTCCTCATCTAAAAATCAGGGGGCTGGACTAGATCATCTCTAAGAATTCTTTGAGCTCTGACTGTTTGAAAGTGTGAATAAATGAAGCACTCCTGTTCTTGCTCATTCATTAAGTCATTCCTTACATGTTTATTGAACATCCACTCTGAGCCAGGCACTGGGAGTCTGAATTTGTTTTGTTCTCATAACAGTCCCACAAGGTACCTAGCCATATACCCCATTTTACAGCTGAGATTATAGAAGTTCAGAGAGGAAATGTGATTTGCCCAAAGTCACACAGCTAGTAAATGACAAAGCTGGGATTCAAACCCAATCCAAAGGTCATGCTCATTCCATCTGCCACGTTGCTTCAGACTCCTGTGTCTCAGCCCCCTTCCTCCCTGCTGGCCCTTACACAAGGGTCTAGTCTCTGGAGACCAGGCAAAAACAGTTTGGGGAGCGGGCTCTACCAGATGTTATGCCACTGAAAAACACCCCTTTCTCCCTTCAACCCTAGCCTCTATCTGCCCACCGAAAGTTCTGGACCTAAGGGGAGAGTGAACCTGTGGGTACTCATTTACATTTGATGGGACGCCTTGCAGGGTAGCAGAGTGAGCCAGGTGAGAGCTCACCTGGGGGACCTGGATGTGTTTCCTAGTCCTGCCTTCAGCAGGATGCATGACCTTGGTGGATGGTTGCCCCCTTCTGTGGTCAGGCGGGCTCAGCTGAGTGCAGGCCGTCTCCAGGGGGAGAGCAGGTGCTGTTGGCTCTGGGCGAGGTAAGGAGCCATCCACACGCACTTTGCCCCTTGGAGTTACCATCTGCCCGGGCAGATGCGCCTCTCTGGCCTCCGGGGCTGCCCTAGTCTCTCTCCCGGAGGCCCCAGTGTCTCCCCAGGGCCGTGGCTGTTGCCGAAAGGGGGGTCCCCGAGGGGAAAGGGAGGCAGGCCTGGGATGTTCCCATAGGACACAGCGGGCGCTGGGAGCAGGGCATACCGGGCGAGCCCTGCTTAATGAGGCGCTCCCCTCTTCTTGGGGAGGCGGGGCTGCCCCCTCCCTCCCCACTTCTCCCCGAGGCCCCGTGGGAACCTGTTCAGCGCCGCCCGGGGAGCGTTGCCTCGGGGTGGGATGAAGCCCGAGCGGCCGGGCCCTGACGCTCTGAAGTGGAGCGGGAGAGTGGTGGAGGGAGTGGCTCCCCGATTTGCGGCTGGCGGGCCGGGGGCGGGCAGGGCCCGCCGGTCGCCCTGGTGCCCTCGACCTCATGCCCGGCATCTGTCCCTTCTGACGAGTGCGCAGTCCATTCGTGGTCCCCTCCATTCCCCCATCTCCCCTCTCCCTCCCTGACCCCCAGGCCAGCTCCCATCGGGAGAGCCAGCGGCAAGTCGGGCGCGCGGCGAGGTAAACACCCGGCGGAGGAGCGGGGAGGCCCGGAGGCCGGGGCGGGGTGCACGGGCCTTCGGCGCGGGGCGGGACTGGGGGCGGGGGCAGGAAGCAGCCGGGCCCGGGCGGCCGGCGCGGCCGTGACGTCGCTCGGCTTCCAGGGATCGCTCCCCGGGGCAGGTCCCTCCTCCTGCCCCTCCCGCCCCTCCCGCCCCCTCCGCGCCCGGCCGGCATTCTCGCTCGCAGCGCGCTCCTGCGGCTCCTAGGTCCCTGCCTCCTTCTCCTGTCTCTCTCTTCCTGCTCTCTCCGGCCCTCCTTCTGCTGCTCGGTCCGTTCCCTGCTGCTCGCATCTTCCCTCCGCTCCAGATCCAGTCCCCCCTTTCTTTTTTCTCCCTTTCCCTCCTCGCTCTCTCGCTCCTCGGTCTCTTTCAGTCGTCCCCTGCCTTCCTCCCGCTGTCTCAGTTTTTCTCCTCGGCTCCTCTCCGGTCCTCTCCCTCCCGCCCTCCGGTCCCCCGCTCTCGCCCGCCCTCTCTGCGCTCCCCTCCTCCTCCCCCACCGCCCTTCGCCGCCGCCGCGCGCAGCTCCCCAGTAGCTCCCCGAGCCCGCGCTGCAGGAGCAGCCCGCCGCCCTCGTCGCTCCCCGGTGCGCCTCGGGCTCGCGGGGACCCCCCCTGCCACTCTCGGCCCCGCCCGGCCCCCGCCCAGCGCGCCGAGGATGTGAGTCCTGCTCCCTTGGCCGAGC